TCTCGTCCGGACGCGCCGGGGCATCAAAGACGCATGAGAGCGTGGTGATGTGACCGATCATGCGCGGATCCGGGAAACAGGTCGATTATCATTGCAGGTAACGTGGACCGGACGACTGCAAAGCCAACAAGGACATGGTCGCACCAGGCGATGCTGTCACTTCTCAGCAGGCAACACGTGCTCATTACTGGGTGCCGACGCAAAACGAACTCGGTGCTCAAAGAATCTGCGCGATGCATACCTGCGCTACGGGATCTTCACACCACAGAAAACGAGCAACAAGAACGCGCGACCGGCAAAACAACTGCCGAAACGCAACGCGCCAAACCCCATTGAACGGACCAACCCGTATAAAATCCCCGCTTAAGCAAAACTGGAAGCAACATCTGCAGCAAAAATGGGCTTCATATGTCGAACCTCGTGGCGGTATGCACATTTGGATGACTCTTATCACCAGTCATATTTTATTGATTTGAACAGTTTGCTATTATAATATTTATGGAACTGCTCGGCGATGTGGAGACAATTCGGAAACGGTGGCGATGCAGTCGTGGTAAAGCCAAACAATACTTCGGCGGGGACCACTTCGCAAAATTAAAAACAGCAAAGATATCGACGTTGTACGCGGACCGGTGCCGCAGATTGAAAACAGACCAGCAAATAGCTCATTCCTTCACCGGAAACGTATGCTAACATCGAAAGATCCGTTCATCGACCACTCTTTTGAATCACCCGCAGTCGCGAATGATTGTTTCAGAACATATTGCTATGGAAGGGTATTACTCTTCGCGAAGTTCTGACTTTATTTTATGTTTGGTAATAGTAATAGAATAAATATATATTATGATCATTGCATACCAGGTATACGTGGCGTATTGAATAATGATTTTATTTACCGTAACGCCCACCATCGAAATAAGGGTGTCCATAATAAAATTCGCATATCACCCTACAGCGTAGGTGCCATCAGGATGTAAGCCGATGACGATAAATGCCTGATTTCAGCTTTGACGCACGCCATTAACGTATGATATTCTTTAGTTCCAATTGTATAACTTCATTAAGGCCTATACGTTAAACACGGCAGGTTCGAGTATCTTCAGAATAGCGACCAAAGTTCGTGACATTTCGCGCGGTAGAGGCGCAGAAAGACATACTGCTAAAATTCGCAATACAATGAGCGATCTTTTAATGTACTTCCTTAATCTAATAAGGCGATAGCCCGTCTATAATATAATTAAAGCGCCACCATGAACGTCTCTTTCAAATAAAAAACAACAATCAAAACAAAATCACCAGGGATAGCCAGTAATAGCGATATCCCTTTCACTCTCTGCGATGGCAAGTACTTTCTCAAGAACGTCTGAAGTCATTATTACAAATACATTTTTTAATCAAGAGGTATATAATTATCTGGATCGTTGCTATGCAGTACCTAACTACCTGGAGAGCTGGAAATCACGCAATTTAAAGTACGTAATCCAGATTCAGTCCAGAATATCTTCCATTAATTAGTTTTGATATTTTTGTAATATACTATAAGAAAGGTTTCAAGTTCTGTGATCCAAACGCATCGCCTTTTTAAGCGCGCATTGTTCATCTGTCTACGTCTATACATTTGCGGCATCCATCGATTTCATTACCAATTATTTCACTTTACATTCAGCACTTTACCGGAAGTTTCGGATGTACGTTAGCGTCCTGCGCCTTTGCTTAAAAGCATAGGTATCTAAACTCATAATTCCGAATTCACCTTCCAGCGCAAGCACGTTCCGCCGTTAAATATCAAATGGAACCGAATCGTGAAGTAATGTATCCATTGAATCTGCGTCTGATCTTTTGTTGACTTTTGTCGAATTCCAGATAGCCACGTCCGATAGTTCAAATGTTCCGGAATTGTTTATCGCGATCTATTTTTCCCCGTGCAGCATATATGGTAGAATCCGGTGGTTAATTCTTATTCCTTTTCTGCAGAGACATTGTAATCCGAATTGTTTTAACCATGTACAACCAAAACACGTATTAGATTTGTAAGCAAAAAGCGGCATGAAAACAAGAACAGCCGATGTCAGCAGCGTCGATACTTTATCATTTTCGCCAATATATTTACATTTAATTTTCAGGTAACTGGCGTTCTTTCAGGAACCTCAACTGCAAGTGATATAACGTCCAGCCAACGAAACAACAATAATATGTCCAAGATGATATCGGAGAGACTTACGCCAATGGGTCAGACTCAGAAGATGTCGTTCGTGTACAACGGTAACCGAAGGCGTACTGTAATAACAACCCTTTTATAAGATAAATATGTACGTGACAAGAGATACAATGTATGACAGTTATTCGCATTGTATTGACATTCAGGGATGAAATATTTAAGGTGATGGTATATAAAATAAAATAAAATAAATAAAACACAAAAAAGCCGCGCGAAAAAAAACGATTGCATTAAGAACTTTATTGGGTAAGTTCAACATCAGTATTGCATTAATCGAGAGTTCCGATTCTGAATATATTGGCATTGGCAGGAAAATGAAGAACACCCGGTAATAAAGAAAACATACGGACAAAGACGTCACGGTATTGCGTCGGCTCGTCCCGCGTTTTTCTGGTAAGGCACGATAATGACCACATGCGTGCGCGTGAACAGTGAGTTAAGATTTGGTCACACCGGCGCTCTGCAGTTACATCGTGACTAAAACCAAGTTATGGCGTTAACGGCGCAGATAATATACTTCAACGAAGCGAAAGTAAAAAATCCAGATCACAGATAACCGTAATTAACCGAATATTTCAACTATACACAAAACAATATAAAACTGGCTGGCGATCGCCAAATGAAGATAGATCACCATACCAGTGCGAGGACTTACAGTACACTTCCGGCAGACAATGACAAACATGAGATGAACAGCCATAGCTACCCATGTTATATGTTCTACCGACCAATCTCTTTGTGAATTTCGGCCAACACGATGTTAAATTTACAGTTCAACGAATTCACACTGTTGCCGGAGCCACTTCAATGAAGGACAAGGACTAGCTTTGTCTTTCCGGCAAATGCACATATCTTCAAGCACCAGTATATATAACAATGAACTCTACGTTATAGTTATCATTTTCACCGTGTTGATACGTTTTACTTACTTCATCGAGAGTTACGAATCTTAGAATCAAGAGAGGATGAATACCAATCAGGAAAGGTATGCATTATAAGTAAATACTTTTTGGTAGTATCGCAAGGTTGGTATAAGCTGTTTTTGTAACCAGATGTTGTGAAACTTGCTGAAACGTTCAGCGGATTGAACACTTCAATTTATATTGGCTGTGCAAGCAGCGTTGGACCTAACTCACTCACTCAGTTGATCACTCCATCAATTCCTATTTTATTGTGTGTACGTGGAGTTTGAATGACCATGTTTGTTCAGCAACCTGTCATGCTACATACTACTGCACGATGGGATGTTCCGACCAAACATGAGACTTGACGTTATCACTGCTGATATGGAGGGCACCTACCCGCAATGTGATAGTGATTCGGTTCGCCTTAGTGGAGGTACGTGATATTTGCGTCGTGCACAATTTGCTACCATTAAGTCATGTGCCCAAGGATTGAATGAACTATTATCAAGCCAGTATTAAATCCAAACATTATGTGTCCAGTATTTTTAAAAAGTAGAGGACATATTATTGATATTCTTTAAAAAAGATAGATAGTTTAGCAGTGTAACAGGTGCATTTGAAAGGTCAAACTCATTAATATCGAGTGATTCCGTATGTATTCTCAAGACAACCCGGATTCGATGAGCCACACCCCTAGTGAAACGTCCAATAACTGATCCAGCGCTGCCGCTGTTGACACCAATGACGTCTTGAGTTATATAATAATAATAATTAGTCCATTTATATTGCGCTAAATCCACACCGACAGCATGCTCATAGCGCAGTTATGTGACCACTTGGCAATCCTGGGGTAACGGGGAAGTCGGGCTTGCATGTTCCATCTGTGTAGTTGATTACGAATGGTGATTGTAGCAGGCTAACGACTGACTGAAATGTTAAAAGCTGTTCCACAATGCTCTGTCTTGTACCAAATTTCCTAGCCGTTACTGACGCGACAGACGCACGTAAAAACGATTAATTGAGTTTAAGACAACATCAGAAGAACTTTTGTCTTTCAGTCTTTTTTCTCACTTAAATCTACAGCCACACAGTGACACGTTTCTATGCAAATTCGCATTTTGCCCTGAACATGATCATGAGCACAATATGAAACACGAAACTGGCGTGTTTGAACAAAGTTCATATAAATAGAATAATCACAAAATATTTCACCCGAAACTGGAATGTCCACTTCTTTTTTGAATATAAAAATGAATATTGTGATTCATTGGCGGAATAGATTGTTCATGTCCCAGATATGTTCATAAGAATGGACAAGAACAATATGGGTTGATTCCACGTGGAACCCGGTTGTTTTTTCTTTCTGCAAGTGCGATTAACTATGTTATAACGAACCTTTTGTCCCGGCCTCTCGCGTTACATTGTCGTTGAAATGCGTATAACAAACCACGATTATAAACGAAGAAAATGAGTGGTTCCATAAGCACAGATTACTGTGTATTCTCAAACCATATACCATTGCTTATGCCGATTTACAGGTTTGCTGGAAATTATTATTATCCATCCATAGATTCCGTTTTAATTGGGAGACAAGAGTCGCTAAACAAGGCGAAATGGGAACACATGAGACGTTTTTGTTACGCACGCCATATAGCTAGAATATTGCTGAGTGCGGCGTAAAACCAAACTCACTCACTCATTTTTGTGTCCCATTTCTTGTTATGTTAACGGTATTTTCTTCTATGCAAAATTGAAGAGTAACTGTAAGTATTTTCAAATAAATCCTTCTGCCTCAGGATATACAGAAATTATTACCTCGCGGGGAGGGTTTTGCTGGAAATTCATCGATGTCCCCGATTGGTCCCTACTATTCTAACGGAATGTTAATGAAACTGGTATTCAAGTCCAGCAATGATACCAGTGGGATGGTATTCAGACTTCGTGTGTCTCACACTTCACGGAAAGGTATGTAGAAACTCATTATTTGAAGTGAGACGTTCTCAGTATTGTTTCTGAAAGGTGTTATAGTTGTAGGGCGTCGAAAGTGATAAATGTCCTGATATAATGGCATCAAAGTCAGATTCAGTATCCACAAATCCCACAAAAAATGAAACCCACTCATGTTTCAGTGATACCTCACCAATCAAACAATTGTGGGCCGCAATTTCGCAATGCAACGGCACGTCCAAAATTCCTTTCTTCCCCCGGATATCCTGTTATTTCGCCATAGTAAGTCAATTTCCTGGCATTTCTTTTCACTATGTGAGCACTCTGCACACTTAACATTACGGATAACAAATTGAATATACATTGTGAAGCTTTTAAAGTGGTCAGTTCTTTGAAGCTGTTCTTCATTTGTCTGGAAACGTACATAACACTTTCTAAAAACTCTGAATTCCATTGGTCAGGAAACATGTAATCCCAGTCATTTCGGCATCGAAATTTGCTGTGCCGAGTTGCCAAAGCCGGCGCCCCCAGAATATCATGCTCCTGTGTTCAAATCTGTGATTATCTGAATTTAAGCAACGCCACTTTGGGCAGACTTCTGTGACCCTTAACTCACTTATTGTTTCAGCCCAGACTTTTGTATTTGGAAACTGACGGTGTCTGACCCTAAGATGATGGTGCGCATCGTCGTAATTGACTCGGATTTTGTGCCATTTATGGCTGTCTGCGACATTAGTTATATCGTCAATTTTTACAACGGTAGGTTACTGCAGTCACATCACCAATAGTCTATAGTATCATAGGTCTTTGAGTACAATGTTTTATCGCGTTAACTTCTTTCTTATGCTATTGAATAATCTCAAATAACCAACTGAATAGCTTACATGAAATCATCGAGATAAGACAGGGAAAAACAGGAAAAGACAACATATGGCTGTCACAGTGTGGGAGAGGCCTTCATGGCATCTATCTCCCCTGACATGTACGTACACACCTGCCTGTCAAATGTATTTCGTGAAAAGATGGCACACATATCCCAACTTTCCCATACAAATAATCATCACACTAATTATTTAACCATTTAAGACACATTAATCTATATTTTCCACTTTTTTGGTGCACGTTACATGTTTGTCATGACCTATTCTCTACGTGAGTTTTCTGAGACGACTGCCATGAATGTTCCAGGACCTTCCATCTTTAATGACACGATTTTCACCTGGTGTGGCGAGTCAAAACCGAATCTGCAAAGTACTGGATCAGCTATGACAATTCAGTTCATTTCAGGTTTTTGGTACAGCCTGAAAGGCTTCCGACTGAAATATTTCGCAACTAATGGTAATATCACATGAAAAATTACTTGCGTGCACATTTACACTGGAGACACTGAACGATCTTACAATAATTACAATTTTGAATATTAACATGATCTATGTATTCGAAATTGGCAAATACTCACGAATTGGTATCATTGTATATTTTTTCAAATGACAATATATTCTATACATTAGCCAACAATCGGGTTCGTAAATTGTGTGTCAACTCATGAGGTAAATGTTTGTGTACACTTCACTGGATAGGCAATGTAAAATTGTTAGTGAATTTCTTTCGAGACATACAGATGTGGAGGGACAGTAAATATTACGGAGGTTGGGAATACAACCTTGACAGGGCCGTATCAAAAGTAAGGTTTAGAATGTCATACCAATAAACCTGTTCAAAAATTGCTAACAAATAGTTGGAATCCTTGGGGCGCGCGAAACGGTGCCTCACGTGAACCACCCATCACAAACACACGCAAAGGCTAGTCAATCATCTAAACAAAACACTGACACACATCCACGAATCAAAATACGACAGCGCACTGGAGTGATTTTCTTATAACAAATGGCAATCTCACTGACAGTGTCAGGAGTTGTGGATTTTTGTCTTCGTCTGTGTAAAAAAATAAGGCAATCTTTCCAACTTTACGGTTATTCACCATAGTGGTCCAGGTACTCCTCGGGATAACATCTCCTGTTGGGATATTCAGTTGTCAGGACGGAATGTTTAATGAGCATGATACAAAATCATATGGAGGAAACGAGGAGGTTAACAATTTACAGGAATGCCATTAAAGAGCGAGGAATGTTAAATAATAACAGAATGATAATCATGTACCAGCATGATCTTGATGGTATACTTATGGATGAATGTCTAAATTCCAGTTCCCAAGATTGCCACTGGACAATACATGCCCCCGCCAACATGACCATCCAGGTCAAAGTGACAAATCCGTATGTTTTACCAGTGGCAGAACCCAAAATATGTAACGCCGATTATGTAGAAATGTACGATGGTAAGAATTGTTTTGCGACTTTGCTGAATACATAGTTATCCTTGCCAAAGTATTGTACATCAACAAGTGTTATAGAGTTTGCCGTAATATATCCATCTGGTTCATCACCTCTTCGTTTGCATCCTTTCATATCCGACGGCATATATTGTGGCTCACAACAAAATATAACAGTATTTATTGGCCCATGACTCCATGACTTACAGGTAAACGTCATGTAACTGGGACATCGCCGAATGCGACAGCATAACACAAACATAACGATTGTTATGGTGTGATTTATCACATTTTGAAAATATTGATCTTAGCATCGTCGTATTATATTACAATTTCTGGCTGCTCAAATACATTGATGTACACGTAACCTTTCTTCAAGTATGAAGACTTGGTTGGCATTTATATACAATTATTAAAACAACTGGCAAGCAATTTAAAATACTAATAGCACAAACTTGTCATTGGTATTTATACGTATGTTTTACAATGTATGTATAACCTATTTATGTGCCTATAGGTACTTTTACCAGTTCAACAAGCACTGGTAAATGGTGTGGTGAACACAGCGATGGCTTCATCAGTTCTGGACATACCATCACCGCCAGGTTCCACTCACGGATAGATAACAATTACAGAGGAATACAATTTATTCTCAAGGCGGGACACTTTAATTGTATGTCAATTTGCAATGTCGTGAGTGAGTGAGTGAGTTTTATCACTTCGTGCAGCCTGCGTTCATGAATGTGATAATGGCAAATCAGGGATTTGGCAGAGAATTCCGTCAGAAACATACTTCATAGGTACAATGCGCGCTTTCAGCATGCACCTTTGTGGTTGTGAGTATTGCGCAATATAAGTTCTCTTATTATTATTATTACAGCAGAGAAACATTCACATTACTTTCCATGATGTTCTTCACGACGATTGTTAATAAGGGATCGCTTAATCGTCTGGATACATCAGAGAACTTGCAAATATTCTTCTTTTTTTCAGCCTCACGGATGACGAGCCTTTCAGCTGAAGCATTTACATACAAGTTTATTTCCTCCCCAAACTATTCATTTTTATCAGCACAAAGTCTACGTAAAGATGAGAGAGAGCCTTTACAGCTCATTCTTATTGAAGACAACAGTCACATTATAATACTAAGTCTATCGTTATTGTTTCCTTACGCCCTTCTGTACATGAACAGATTACACCAACGCATTATATGAGGGAAAATCTAGCCACCACAATCGCTTACTGAGTAACGCAGTCTGTATCTGCATACGTGACGAGGGAGTAGCAGTGTCTTCCTACACCGACTACAACCGACGAGTGACACATACTATGGCAATGTACACGGTTGCAGTTGTGTTCTTGGCTGTCCTGCTCTCTCTTCGAGCCACACATTTTAAATGCCGGTAAATGTACGTATTGTGACGGCTGAGACCAGGAAACCATTCATTCTTCTCAAACGAATGTGTACAGTCAACAGCGTATGTGTAGGGAGGGTGATTGATATTGTTGAATATCTTTTAGACTAAGTCCCGATTCTTTCCGGTATTTAATTTAGGTCCCTTTTCCCATATTTACTGTTTGACTGTTTCATTGAGGTTGGCCTATAGGGTTGACAGAGACAGAGACAGAGAGAGACAGAGAGAGAGAGAGAGAGTGTATCTCTGTATGTGTTATAAATACGTTAGAATAGAGAGAGGGATTTCATACATAACGGATGTGAGCCGTAGGTAACATACTGTTTGTCGACTGATGCACCATCATAGTCACCGCATGCGACTAGTGTATTCTTTATTAAAGCAACATCAAGACGACGTGGAAGATCGATGCGGGTAAATCCTATCGGGTAAAGATCAACGTTACCTACTCGCAACTGGAGAACTCTGCTGGCTGTCAAAATGACTACGTAGAAGCGTTCGACGGTAATGTTGTGATTGCAGATTCACATTTGCTTGGGGATATATTCATGATGCTTGAGCCTGCTTTTTGGCTTCGTATCGTCAACAGTTAATTCTTGTAGTAGGCGTGGATTATCTCAGTTATCCCAGGGCTTGAACTATCCATCAATTTTCCGGAAATCATTATCAGAAGGAATAAAATTGATTTATTCATGAAGATAGCAATTCATTTTAAACTCAGAATGTCGCTGTGAAACCGTTCATGTGGACAAAACAGTGTTGAATGAATTTATGTCTGTAGGGTCGGATGCCAAAGCTACTTCTCTTGGACGTTGGTGTGGAGGAACTGAACCAAACAAAACCAGTTCAGGATCTTTAATGTTCTTGAAATTCAAGTCAAATTCCCAAGTAGTCGACAGAGGATTCATTATCAAGTATACGGCAGAGTACATAAGAACAAGCGGTAAGTTACAATGATAAAATATTTAAGTACACGAGTGACGAACCAAACGAGTCTACAACCGAAGTCTAAAGACCGAAATCTGTCCTGGATTAAAATTAAAAAAACTGTACTCAATTTGGCATGACAATGAGTCAATATTTTCATCAGTTGTCTCAGTAACATAATTTTATACCACAAGTATAAAGTGATCTATGGTCCAGGTATCACTTTAGTATTGTAAAGTTTCCAAAATATTTAGTACTTTTTCTATTACTACGAGTTAACGCTAAAGTCAGCTGTTAAACTGAACAAATGAAACATATTGAGGCAAAGTTTCTTTACAATGCCATATATTGCACGAGCATCTACTTGTCTCTACAGATTCGAAAGACTCAACCGGAATAGTTGTTGGAGGTTCTGTGGCGGGAGTAGTTTTACTATTCGGTCTATTGGGGCAATCTGTAGTGTTGAAAGAAAACCTGATGGCGACACGACTGCTTCCTTTGGTGGAGGTTTAACTGCGGAAAGTGTGTCATTTAAATCTATCAAACCATTAAATGAATAACTTAACGCTGGTATCCAGGCAAAACATTGCAGCTCAAAAGCGCTTTGAGCCATGGACACTGATTAGTCCATAGGCGTTGCCGAACAAATCTTTACTCTTCGGCAGTGATCTAAAACTGCTTAGTTCATTTGTCGATCGGCGTTTTGGTGGTAAATTATTCCACCGATGTGAGCCAGTTGTATGAGAGGCTCGATCACCATTTGTTTTTGTAAAGGATTTGGATACTTGAAGATGATTCTGATGTCTTGATGTTAGTAATCATAAAGGTTCATAAGTCTGCAATGATCATGAAGATAAGCCGGTGCCTGTCCATTCAGAGACTTGGCTACAATACTGAGAACTTTGAAAGGGATACGTTCTGTCGTTCTGTCAGTCAAAAGAATGCCCTCAACATTCCCTGGGATATGAAATCGAATCTCCTACCCATTTATTTCAGCAGTATTACAGCTGATAGAGCATGTGTTTATGAATCACTATCAAATAATGATAACACCAGGCGTTCACGAAAAGGTGGGCATATCCTTCGACACCCGTGGAACCGTCATAAATATATGCAAAGTCAAGTAAATTGTTCAAATAAATAAAATTGGGAATATAAAGAGCATACCCTATTGGATCTCAAAAGTTGTGAAATGTGAACACCAAGCCTATTGGACTGTAGCCACACATGCTATGCTTTGCAGGACCATGTTACGAATTAACACCAGGCGAGATAACTCTTGATGTAGTAAGGTTCATTCTTAAGTCTACAAGAGTTGCCTCCCATATTGAGCACTTTACTACATAATGAAACACCTTTTTTGAAAATCTATTATCAGTATTAGGAAACAAAGATTTTCTAACAAAATTCTGGGAAAATGTATAATGGAGTGAGTGAGTGGTTTTACACTAACACCGCCGATATATACTTGACATGAATTGACTTCAAATAAAATACTGTATTTCGTGATGTAAATAGTTTGATCTTTACTTGTTGGATGAAACAAAGATTAGAACAGATACGTACATGTTATTGGCATTTGACTTACACGTAAAATGTGAAAAGCCACAAAATCCAGGTGGATACACTGAACAACTTGCAACGCTTTCGAGTTATCTCAGCAATCGGTAATAAACAATTCACCAGCAAAACCAATCCACTAAAATTGTCTGTCCTCACAATTAATCCTCTCAGACGGGCTTCAGTTAAGACAATGGCATTACCATGTCATGTTTACACGTGTCGTGTTGTCTTGGAGCAGTTAAAACGTAGCTAAATTGTCAGGGCTTACACCACGTATTCCGGTAATTCGAATGTCCTGTAACGTTCGTGGTTTTCATGTTATATGTGACCATGTTATGGACACATCGATTGTTAATCGAATGCAGCCACACAGCACTCAGCAATATTAAAGATCATATCACGGCGGACAATAAATAATGAGGAAACCTGTGATTAATAAAATGAATAAAGATAAAATATATTGGGCCACACTGAAACACAATTCAGATTATCAATCATGATAGCTGTTTCATTTTCAACGGTTTTACAGTAGTTTCCAAATGTGAGCGGACAAGGAATATTCAAAGTTTCACGACCTAAACCAAACTGCAAAATGTAAGCCATTATAGTACCTCGCCCTACGCCATTGCAAAATTGTTACATGTGGAAATGTTAACTTTATTCCTACACATGACAAACAAACCTGCATAATGAAGATGAAGGACGGGTAATCTGAAATCGGGGAGAATAATAATAATAGCGCTCATTTCCACGCTTGCAGCATGCTCAGGGCGCAACAATTAAAAAATATAAAGGAAGGGATGGTGACAAACTTGTTATGACACATAAGACTGGCGGAAAATATGTAGACTCGCTTTTAATGACGCAAACGTTGGAGAAAGTTTAAGGTCTCTGGGAAGAAAGTTCCACATATGGGGCATAATGTTCAAACGATCTCTGACCAAAGCACTTGAGTTTGTATTGTGGCACTGTCAGTTGGTTCTGGTGTTGAGATCTTAGTTCCCGTGCTGTGACATAGGCTGATATCAGCATTGATATGTATGAAGGAGATTGCCCGTGAATTTTGAAATGGATCCTTAATCTCATTGGAAGCCAGTGGATAATTCTAAGAACAGGAGTGATGTGGGATTTCTTATAGAGCAGTGGCTTTTTGTGTATAACATTGAAACACCTCTACCGAAGGCCTTATAGCAAGATGTATTTGGTACCGATGGAAAGTTAGGAATCTCTAGTTATCCAAACCTAATGTTGCCAGGCTTGAAAGTGTCAGGCAATATGTAAATTTGGTTCGTTTCCATGGCTACCAAGCTATTTTTCAGAGAGCATGCCAGCTATATACAAAGGAATATGTCTTCACTATGAATAGTGATGTTATCATTTTTGAGAATACATGTGCTAATTCAAGCACTGCTCCACCTAACCATATAATAAGGTCAAGGTCAAATGTCAAGGTCACAGTAATCCTCTGTGTTGCTATTCTAGCTTAAAATTCTATGTTTAACCTCGCATCTTTCTTAGCTGCTGAGTATGGAATAAATACAGCACCATGTATTTGATATCACAAGACACCTCAAAGTCTCATCTTTCAGACAAAATAATTTCAGACCAGTAATTGTTAGGACACGTGCGATTCAGGGCGTTTCCGTGGTTACCATGCATTTTCAATTTATCACAGAATGCATTATATCATGCTTTTATGTAAATAACTATTGCTTTTCAAGAGTGTTTACTGGTGTTCATGATATCCTGCTCCATTGGTGATAAATACGTGTGCATAAACACCTTCAAGGTCAAAGGTCACGATCACATTTATCAATTTTGTAGCAAATGTAGACCAAACTTGAATATTTCCTCATAACTTGTCGGTAGTCAACACAAATAAGACTAATAACATTTAGAAGATAAATAGTTTGGTTTGTTCACACATTCAATTTCCATGTATGGATTCATTGGTCATTTTAGTTTTCAATTCAACATAAGGCAATGGTACAAGTTAAGGATGGTTTAAAACCGACGGCGTTAGCCGGAGGTTTTAAAACTCTAAACGACAAGCATGGGTTGATGAAGATGCCTACACAGATCTTCATGGGTAGATGTCAGGATGTCTCGATACAGATACTGAACTGAATGACAACGATACCAGAATCTGTATCGAAACGTCGCATCTTCCGAATAAAGAAGTTGTTCATTCATAAAGTTTGTTCCTTATCTGATTCACCATGCCACTCAAAGAAGTCTACTAAGGCTCCTTATCCTGTACTTCAGAGGCATGTGCTAATATTTTATGGTCAATATTGATTACAATAAAATTCTGCAAATCATGTCATTTTCAGCAAGCTGGTTATGGTAAATATGGCTGACTATGGCTGTGACACGAAACTTGGTATTGCCATCTCTTTATGTCCATGGCATGTCTGTGCTTGTTGCAATTAAGACCCCTATTAGTTCAACTGTGGTTGTAAACTTGTCTCTGACCTGTCAATTCTATGGTAGGGTGTATTTTAAATACCATACCATGGTGCTGTATCAAAAACAGATAGACCAATTATTTGGAAATCATTCAAAATTCGACATGCTTACATATCTGTTTTCGTTCCTATTATTAAGGACTTGAGTGCATATATAGACAAAGGCACACAATTTTACCCAAGGTGTGACATGTCATCAGTAACTGGTATGACGCATTCATGGTTCACTATGGTGCCTGTGTGTCCAGAATGACTGTAATAACTGAAGTACAAAGTACGATTGTACAGCAGAAGCACAAGTACGTCAGAGAAACAGCATTGCACCACCACTGTGCGTGACTTGTCAAGATTGCATACAGAGATAGTCTAGTATTGGGTCCCTTCTGTGTTGAGAAATATTTATCAATGAAGGCTCAAGACATTCTTATGATGTAGATGGTGTGCTGTGTACATCTGTCTTGAGATTCTGCCTTCTGTGATTTACATCGTATTCCTGCATTGTAAACAGAGATAGGGTTAACATGCCAGTTGACAGATAAGTACAATTGTCCTGGTTTTCCATCAAAGGCAGCATTTAAATCAACATCTCATATTGTATCTTGATCTCACAATATAAATAAATAGTGGATGATCTAAGTTCATATATTGTTTCTCAGAATCAAAGATAAAAGAAGCTTATGCTAGCTGGACTATTCATGGATGGCAAAACTGTCAAATGAACATGGTCCCGAGAGGTTGAAAAGTGGAAGCAGATATTCGATTAATCTTGCATACAATCTACGAGGAGTTGTGAAATGTGATGTGATGACACTGGTGTCCTGGTGTGCGTCTTGGATTATTATACACTTGGGCCCCTTCAAATAGTACTATACACCATTTTTCCTCTTTGCAACATCAAATTTTATAAAGTAGAGAATCTGGTATCCAAAATGATGATGTGTGTATAATATTTGCGTTTAGACACCAAAATACGTAAGAGAAAATGCAATTGTTGTTGAGATTTACTGCAAATGTGATGAATTTGATGTGTTTTATAGATTATCGAGCATGTCCATTTGACCTTGACCTTTAAACAATTTTCATGCTGGAAAAAAATATGAGCAATCACTAAAACAAATGGATCCAGCAAAGTGTGTAATGTTATCTTTGATTTATTCACATATAGAATGTCATTGCAAGTCCTGGTTGCCACGGTGACGCACCCAAAACATCATTTTGCTTGACACTTTTTACTTTTGGCCACAACTGGTTCAATAATGACTTTGAGCTCTGAACATCTTCAAGTACATCTTGCTATAACTCCGGTAGACCTATCTCCTTTATTTTGCTAGCTAGCTTGAGACTGACACTGGTCTAATGATGGTCACGATTCGTGCTGTCGTACTTTGCACCTTTTGAAGGTTGTCAAGGAGCACATCAGGGAGTCCTAAATAGAGGCTGTTACAGTAGTCGAGTCTACTAGCAGTCTTCAAGGTGATCAAGGGACGAATATTCCCAATCACTCGGAGATTCCAGTAGGAAGTCTTGCGGACGTTATTAATCTGAGCTTCCATGGAGAGCCTTGGGTCCAGGAGGACACCAAGATCTGTGACAGTCTTTGCTAGGTGGACGTCCGTGTCAGAAGCATTAATGGTGTGTATGTCCACCTTTTGGAGCTGCTGCTTGGTTCCGAAAAGGATCGCTTCAGTTTTATCACTGTTCAATTTGAGTTTGTTTGTGGTCATTCAAGATTGTCAAGGACATCGGCTATATCATGGAGAGCTACAGACTGCGTTCTGAAGACGAAATTGGTTGTATAGTTGACAGTCATGTGCATAGGAGTGATGAAGGAGACGGTGTTGTGTGATGATGTTTGAAGTACTACCACAGTAGAGGACGTATAGAACTGGACCTAAAACAGATCCGTGTGGGACACCAAACTGCAAGTTAACAGTGGATGGCTTGTCATTTCCAATCATTACAAATTGTGATCTTCCATGCATGCATGAAGATATCAACTGCAGCGCTGTCCGGCAGATTCCGTACTGATGCTGGAGTTTGTCTAGAAGAAGAGCACCATGGGAATGAATCCAGGTCTTAGTGCAAGTTAGCGCACGTGACGTGATACAGATTCACCGAGGATGATGCCCAGCCTAATTGAATGTTTGGACCACCACATAGAATACATCAACTAGTCCGAGTATCCATAACTGTGAAACTGATAATTAACCATCTTATACTAACGATATTTTCGAATCGTGTAACATAAGGAGTCATCTTGTTTATAGTACCCTAGACTTGTGCCACTACTGACTGACACATAGACAAAGGTAGGACAGCATTAAGCAGTGGTGACATGAGAACCAGTTGCTTCTACATCTGCTGTGTATAACGTCGTCACTGGTCAGTTGCCTCATCTACCACCAAACAGGTCACCACCGGCCATTCAAGTCTGATTGTAAACTTATGACATGATCTAAACTATGTATGTCTTCAAAGTTTAGTTATTGGTATTTTTTTTGACAAATGTACTTCTCTGTTTTGTGATACAGACATATCCACATAAGACGATGGGAACCTCATACATGGAGGTGTCATTTCTAACTGTTTACACAAAATGTATACATGTATATGATATGTCTGCACACATAAGGACATGTATCATTATAATATCTTTATGGTCACGGTGCAGTGAGAAAGATCAGACGAAAGGTTATGACGAAAGGTTGAATGTACGAAAGAGTAGTAAAACCCAAGTGAAGTTAATGAAATAGTAAAAATACGTGGCGTCAAACGAAAAAAGAACCTGATGGCGATTGCAAACAATAGCATGGTCGGGATACTGAGAGACAAGCAAAAACATCTCGGTATTACGAATCAACAGAAACCACTCAGTTATTGTACGGTCGACATTTTGGGGGATATTTGCTCTCAGCATAGTATTATCATCCCAACCGGCGTCGTCAAAGAACGCAGGGGAGCGATGCCACTGGATGACTATCAACATAACCATCCAATATGGTATCTGGTAAAACTTCTCATTTAATGCCCCCCTGAACCGCCACCAAGTAAAGCTTACAGCCAACGGTACAGCAGCCTGATACCAGAGCCTCCAACAGATTTCCTGTATGTTGCATTGTCGATAATCTCCAGCACTGTCTTTCCATACTCGAGACCTAAACCCAGTATGGGAATTCTTCTCCGTGATCTCAAATTCCAGTGGTCCGCTGCTTGCCACCAGGCTAAGAGTCATGTTTGCGTTGAAGTGAGAGGAATGGAGGTTTGACATAATTACTGAAGAACACTCTTTTTGAATGTGTGTAGAAGTGATCGACAGTACAAGTTGATGTGGGCAGACGTTTCCGGGGCATGCAAGGTTGTCGTCTCTGGCATTGGTCTTTCATGGACGTCCTGATCTCGGTTGATCCTTCAGCTGTTTAATATTGTCTCTGCAATGAGTCGGTTGGCAATGCATGACAACAGAGTGTGGTGCATGCAAATGATATTTTCACGTTGTTTCATTTCTAGAGTAGCAGTAAAGTCCAAAAAATATCTTATGATCAAACTTAAAATTCACAGTGAGGCCCCATCTTACTGTGTGCCAATACACAGAATGACCCATAGCAGACTATACGTGCCATATAATTAAGATTGACATCCAATGATCGAGGGAAAAATACCAGCGCCTTGAGCTTGTACTACTTGCGTGGATTTGTGCGCTATATAAATATACTATAAAATAATAATAATAATAATAATTACGCAATGTCACTTCAGTTTTGGCGGTGCAACACGCTTGACGAGGGGTATATAAATTATACCAGTTACAATCGTTTCTTGGAAAAGACTGTATTCTTCTTAACCTTTAACCCATGAATACCTTGAATGTGAAGATGAAGGGGGACTATGTCACACATTACTGGGTTACTTCATAACCACCTGGTCCTGCTCGCCTCCACTACAAATACAAATAAAATTAAAGCATTCTATCCTATGGACTCCGCTCGTTTCTAAACATTTCGCATAATATATACATCTACTAGTATTAGCAAAACCTAGATATTGACAATAACATGTCATACAGAGATACGCCACCTTCATGTACTGGCGTACTATATGAGCTTTTATTAAAAAGTATCCAGTAGTGATACAACTGAAACATTTTGTCCGAAGCGCCTTAACAATGCCTCCATGGTCAAGTTAATAGACGGTCCGTCTGGAGAGAGTTAGATCACAATACACAGAAGATCGTACATGTTAACCTGATGGCCACTTTCACTTGTGGGAATATAACAAAGACCAGTCTGCTCTGCAACCGCTATATTGTGAGAGTATGTAACTACGGCATGGTATGACAGTGTGCTTATAACTTTAACACTATAACAAAGAAACAGCACGACAAGAAAACACATACAAACACACACATGCACGAGAAACAAACACAAACAAGAGACGAAATACGCATGCACGTCACGTCAAACCTCATTTCCCCTCTCATCCAAGCAGTCTAAATACTTATTCGTTCACCTACAAACCTGCTGATCACTGGATTGTCTGGCCCGGACTCGATTATTTACAGATTATTTATAGCTGGAATACTGGAGTGCAGCGTTAACCAACAACCAACCAACCAACCAACCAACATACACTGAGGCTATCACACAGGGAATCCCTTCCTAGGCCGGTCTTCCAGGCAAGACAACATCCAGTCGGTGGCAGTGTGACCAACAACCAACCAACCAACATACACTGAGGCTATCATACAGGGCATCCCTTCCTCGGCCGGTCTGCCAGGCAACAGACAACATCCAGTCCGTGGCAGTGTGACCAACAACCAAACAACCAACATACACTGAGGCTATCACACAGGACATCCCTTCCTAGGCCGGTCTTCCAGGCAAGACAACATCCAGTCCGTGGCAGTTTGACCCACCACCAAACAACCAACATACACTGAGGTTATCACACAGGGCATCCCTTCCTAGGCCGGTCTTCCAGGCAAGACAACATCCAGTCCGTGGCAGTGTGACCAACAACCAAACAACCAACATACACTGAGGCTATCACACAGGACACCCCTTCCTCGGCCGGTCTGCCAGGCAACAGACAACATCCAGTCCGTGGCAGTTTGACCCACCACCAAACAACAAAGGTTTAAGAATTCTCGTCCAACAAATGAAACGAAAATTCTTTTTGCGGCATCAAGAAGATATTCGGCTGAAAGATCACCCACCCGCCGACACCCGGTAGACAGGGAGTTGATGCAAACTTATGATCCTTTTCAGGGGCGGATACAGCTTTTGAGGGGTTCGCACACTATTGAGAAAAGGAGGGTGCACACTTCATTTTCAACCGAGTTTCAATGGTAATTTAACAAAATTTCAGCTACAAATTTGCGCACCTGCACCCTGGATCCGCCTATGCTTGTCATTAGTCAAGACTTACATAGCTGTACACCTTGATACGACTCTCTTATACACGGTAACAAAAGCATACAAAGAGGCGAAAAATCTTTAAATGTGAGCAAGTGGTGTAATAAATTTCAGTAAAATGACATTGTAAGAGAAGGAAACGAAAATAATTTTATTTCAAAGGATACTATTGAAAAGTATTGTTTAAATGAGTTATTACACAGTGACTTATTTCGTTCAAGTCAGAACCGATGGTGTATTAGTTGCAGGATCTATGTCTTTGGTCGCATATACTAATTCCCTTTCTCGTCACGGCCACTTTAGTCCTGGGATAGGTATCATGCATGATTATAGACACGTCGGCCAGAGCAAGCCCAATGGGACCAGAACCTGTGGACATTATTGACGAAGTCTGACAGTTCTGTTACTTTCCAGAACTCACGAATCCGTTGATATATGAACAGATGTGGCCTCATGAACACGTGCAAACACCTAGTTGCGGGTACAGCAAGGTGCAGTAAACTTGGACAAAAGTACTCTGACTATGAGTCCCAGTCCACCCAGCTGTGAATGGGTACCTCGTTAGGATGAGAAAGCCACAATAACTGGGTGCGCCTAGTGGCTGCAAGAGTTGTATACTCCCCAGGGAGTTGGGATTGATAATACGATGTGCCGTTGAGATTGACATCCAATGATCGAGGGGAAAATACCAGCGCCTTGAGCATGCAGTAACTGCCTGAATATGTGCGCTATATAAATATCCTATAATACAATAATATAATAATAATGATCTACGCAAAAGATTCTGACAGGCTCTCTACATAACGTTCACCCACGCTGATCTGGAAGGATCGGCCAAGTACTCACGGGACTACCTAGATGTTGTGTGGTAATCTAGTAATCTAGACCGTAACGTCAGTAATGGCATTCTAAATGTCCGCCTTATGTGAATGGGTATCTCGAGCTTCGAACCACCGAAATTCTGCTATCTGGATCTCTCCACTAAACCATGGTATTCAGGATGCAGTGTGTGATTATGCGTCATCCAGAAACGGCTTTTTGTTAGGTTGGTAATACAGTAAAGCGTCTATCCACGCTGCTACGAAACACGGGTATTCGATATGACGGACGAATGATTTCACCAGTAAGCTACACCGCAGCCGCACGTCTCCTCATTTGGCAGTCGCAGTCTGTCAATCAATCACATTCGTAGATTGTAAAATATCACTAAGCTATTGTAGTGTCAATGTGACTCCTAAATAAAAGAGAATTTTGTATAACTACAGAACGTTCCAATATAATCAGAATTTATTTCCTTCAGTGAGAGAATGAATATTCTAAATATCAGTTTTTGAAACGTGGGTTATATTGTAGTACCTGCACCTTGACGCCGCACAACTGTGGATTTATCACCGAGAACCTGTGTTTGAACAGCACTGTCAGGTTGACAAGCCCAGACTTCTAGGTCACACCAACAGCCACTGTCTCAACTTATCTATGCGTTAAGTGTACAGTGACTATATCAAGAAAATAGGGACGAGAAAATATGACACGATATAGTCAAATATGAAGGAACAGATTTTGCTTGGATTATGTGCTATACTGTTAGGATCACTGGTCAAAGCACCTGGTATGTAGCATTAATTCCTATACTGTGGTCATATATATGTGCGTACAAAACGTTTGGATTAAATATGTATACAAACAACACCAAGGCATACATCCGACTGTGTTAGCTATAGTATTGTTCATATAGGAAATGTTCATGATAATTGGTTACATGTATGTCTATTTAATGCGTGAATAGTTTTAGTGCGATAGAAAAAAAAATGACTTAGCGTTTTGGTGAAAATTATGTGAGATTGGGTACTAGTATTCAGGTAAAGCACTCTATGCTTACCCTTTTCGGAACACCTGATGACATCACTGTTTTCAATGATCTTTTCATAGAACTGTAACAGTCTTGGTTCCCTTGGTATGCTACCCTGGTGCTATAGGCTTGACCCAGATATTGACTGTACAATGGCGGCTTCCACTAAAACAAATATGGCGGACTCGACATATATTCAACACATAAAAAAACTCAAGTTATGAATGTTTCTTTTCTGTAGAAATGAGTATGTCGCGAAAATAACGCCCGTTTTAATTTTTAAGGGCCTTTTTTTTGAACTGTGTTGAGACAAAGGTTGAGGCGGAAGGTAACATGACGCATACCCCATATATGAGACCAACATGAGCGTGAGCATTATTTTCCTATCAGCTTCTTTAAGTTGGTATACCTAATTCATGGGATGGAAAGACACGATTAATTAACTGTCATTTTACTATATTTTTACTAGTAATGTGATGTTGATTATCACGTCCCGATTTGTCCCTTTGATATAATTTTGGTTGGGAGGAAATATTGAACGCCCAGTGGAATAATAATAACAACAGCAACAACAATAACTCACTCTTGATCTGCAAATGGTGGGGTTTAATTAGAACAGTTGTCATTGATTCGGACTTTTGGCCTTCGGTGTGTATTCCTATAAAAGCCATCTATTTTTAATTTTCTGAATTATATTGAATATTGAGTTTTCTTGTGACAACATATAATTAATCATATTTTGACCTATGAATTTTGTAGATACAGCAGTCTTATAAAACAACGTCGCTGCTTGATTACACTGTTGTAACAATTTCCAAGCTTTTAAAATGAAACTGTAATTATGACTTGAAGGATATTTTTTTAAAAAATTGTTAAGTTAAATAATCGAACAACAATGTAAACACATGCTATTGCATTGTTACCTTAATTATAGCTGCCCTATAGCTGGAATCTTGCTGAGTGCAGCGTTAAAAAAAACATCGGAAGTCTTTGGTAAATTACACTTGAAATGGGAATAATTCTTTTGTGTGCTCAATAACAGTAACCACCGGGGGAAAAGCAAATGAATCCCGCCTTTAGATTCACCACTGATTATTACTGTATTATACCCTTCTATGGATGTATTATTATTTTACAAAAATGTGCAGAAATTGGACGTTACGCGTATTTTAAGTGCAGTGTTGTAGAAAGCCTAATGTTGTCTACATTATCGAGTATTTCTCGTCTCATTTCAATTTCCTATATGTTCTATTTCTGGTGAGTTTCGTTTTTTTCTTCATAATTCAAAGACTATGGTAATTTCAATTGTTATTACATAATGATTACTACTTATTTCAATCATTTTCTAGACATTTCATTTTTCATTTTATTTTTGTTTCTCGGATTTCTAATTATTTTTTGCTATGTCTATTATTTCCTTGTTATTTCAATGTTTTCATTCAATGATAATGATTAAAATAACATTTATTTACGTCCAATACTTATTTGTTGAATAATTTAAATAACGAGCAAATAATCTAAGTGTCAAGAAGAAATGAATAGAAACTTCGAAATGACAAAAAAGGAATTAATCTTATAAGTGTTATATTATACAAAATTGTGCAAGACACCAATTTACTGGTTTTGCCTGCGTCCAAATGAACATCTTTTACTTTGACTCACTCATCCTGCAGATCCACAAAATGTCATATATTTTTTTAGGCATCTAATTGTAGTTTTTCTAATTGCAGTTCTTAGCTCTTAGTACAATTCTTCTAGATATAATATCAGGCATTCACTTTGTCAAATTGACTTGTTTTGATAAAGACTCCAGATATCACATCACACACGAACTACCTGATAACCTAATGTCCTGTCGATGACTTTGGCCTATATTGACATGGCCGGGTTGTCTGGTAGCATTGCGGCCATATGAACAGCACAACTGGTGAACATAGAGAAAACTAGTATGCACTAACATTGTATCAAATATATCGTGTACCGCTAAATTCATTTATGGCTAGTAGGGATATGTATACTACTCACACTTTGCTAAGGATCACATAAATTCACAACTTTCCTTAAACGTAGATATATAATTTGAAATTGTAGCCATTTAAAACTGGATAAATAACAATACGGTAACCCCTCGTTAGGCAAACAATCTCTTTAATCTAACCTTATGCACTTGATACATCAATAATCATAAAATGGTTTTAATGGCACAATCAACCATTTTGCAAATCATGGAACGAGTTATTGACAAGTACACAACACCTGTCAATAGCAGGTATGGGATCAACAAGATCCATGTTTACAATAAGCTTAGATATTTAAACCAAATATGACCCCACATCACAGTTTTCTGTTGAATCCATGATTTGATCCTTAGCAAAGTGTGAATAGTATATTTTCCTTAGAATCGCTAAAGTATTATGATATGTTTTGGGTCAAGGTAAAAAGTCGTAAAAAGCTCTCCGGAAGGTTTTAGCGTAATGTCCGATAACTACAGAGCAAAGAGTGATTATCGATGAATTGTGGTTCCTTAAAAAAAATATTTGATATCCTACAAAAAGATAGAATATTGATAATTGTGAAGCCAGGATTAGGTATACGTAATCATGATAGTAATAAGTGTATTCAGTCATATTTGTTTAGCTTTTAGTTTAAATTAAGCTTGTACATATGTTACATTGAACGCGTCTCATTGGTACCACCTTGACGAGTTACATATGATCAATAGAATTAGGCACGAACTCTAACACGCAAACGATATCTTCTCGGTAAAGAGGATAAGTTATTGGTAACTATTGTGTATTGGACAGAACATCGATTCTTGTTAATGTTGGGAGCTTGCTGACGATCTCAATATGAAGAACAACAATACAATTAAACTTAAACTGTGTGGATCTGTTGAATGAAGCTGAAGAAGCATGGGGAAAATATTTCAGTTATACTACTTTGAAGTCTTACGTGGGTGGCAAGTCGAAGGGCTGACACTCTGCTGGTGTGGTGGTATGGTATGGTGACCTCACATCCATGGCATCTGGACTATGACCATACAATTTTGAAATTGTCCACTGCAAATTATTCACTCGTGACCCCTCTAACTGAGTGTCGCAAAATATCAATACAGTAATCCGTCGCCAAAACACAAAATCATATGTTTAATAAACCAAGAGACCAAGAAACTAATTATGTAAACGGGTTTTGTGAGAGAAACTGTTAAACGAATCGGCTAGGATGCCCTTTATTTGCAAGTGATTGTTATTTTACGTTTATCAAAGGTTTTATATCATATTCATACATGTTGATTTGATGTAAAAACCGTCGGCAGTTCTATGTGATGATGCATGAAATTTGTTGTGACATTTTTAGTCGATTGTCAAACCAAATAAATAGATTTCTTCACAGTGAGGACGGCATACGAAGAACTGAGGAGAATAAACTGGCTTCAATGATGTCCTGTTTATGATTACAAGAAGCAAATTGAAAAGAAGACGTGTATCCTTTAGTGCGCAATTCGATATGGTCCATTTTAGGCTATGTGTTTTATGCTTTTTCAGTTTAATTGTGGTCAAGCATCAACATCTGCAAAGTAGCTAGGTGGGAATGTATTTGTCATTTAAGTAAAGCTGTGATATTTTTTCTGATGTAGAAACAGTAAACAGCAAGAGCGATTGTTGAATAGAAAATCTATACGCATCTGTCCTGCAGAAATATCTAACATCACCTGGCTATCCATCTAACTATTATGTATATCTGACCTCGTGCATCACATATACCTTCACTTTACATCACCACATCACAGATCTCCAGAAGTACATTATGCTTTCCTTAATACAAAAAGCATTATTGTATAAGTAAAATTAATTCAGCTTTGATGACAATACATCGATACTGTATGTGAATATCTAACTTTACGAAGAAGCGTTGGACCAATTTTGAGCCGTACATTGTATACCTACATGTAGCTTCGCGAGGACCGATATATATAAAATAAAAAGAGAGGCTACCGGTCGGTAGCAATTTTGTCTCTGTTCACACCCATGTATAGATGCACAGTAATGTTGTAACAGTAGTAAATTATCAGGTTCCTAATCAATATCTTATGTTAATTTTGAATTATCTGATCATGTTTATTATGATAAGACGACATATAATAATTAAATAATATTGTGGTCTTTCAGCACCTGATGAAAACTTAGAAGTTAGTGACTTTGGAGCAGTATATGTGCAATCAACAAATTATCCGAGGGATTATCCAAAGTAAGGCATTCAATCGTATTTGCCAGAACAATTAAAACACTTACTACTACAAGTAATGTTTTTTTCAGCTATTTCTTACTCAGCTGTTTCCATTTTGCAACATATGTAACCCACAGATGTAACCAAATAACAAATGGATATTGAAAGGTACTATACATGGTATTAAAATGACATTTGTCTTTTCTCATGTATCACTTCAACACTTACATTTGTGTTTAAGTCGTTTCACACATGCGTCTGCGTTTCAACAAACTTTTATTCAGTGCCAGTTCACCCTGATCTCTGTCTTTGCTAGCAATGAGAACTCGTGGATGGATGATCCAGACCAAATCTGAAGGTTATGTGATTGATCTTCACACGAAGAATTTCCATCTTGAATATGACGATAATTGTCTCTTCGACTATGTCTTCAACTTTATGATGGTATGTTTGAAAAGAAATACTTTAGTGCTCTACTCTTAACTAACAAATGACGTACGAAATGTTTCACGTAACTATTTTCGGCCTATTTAATTTACATCTTCAGCTGTTCCTTTGTTTGACACAAATGCTAGGCACTTCATGTATCTTAGCAGCCATGTAAAATGGTTTATCTGGTCACAATCTAAGGTCCGATTACGGTCGTGGTTAGTTTTAATTTTGGCGCTCATTACGCCCCCATTATGTTTGTTTTCGAGGTACAAATATCATGGATAGATGTCTGAATGCTTCGCTGACACGTACATGAATATAATCGCGGATTGCATGTTGAGACATTTCTCACGCTACCTACGAAATGTCCTCAGATCTTTTAGCTGATATTTATCGTATTGGCGTAAAAAGATCTGACATTAATTAAACAGTACTAGCTGTATACAAACTGTAGAGGCTTTATGGTATCAATTTGAAAAAATCATAACAATATAAATTATCTAAGTGGGATTTGCACTGACAAAGATTACGCTTTGTTATCTCTTGGCATAATTACTCAGAATATGGATTGAATGTGGATTGTTTACACTTTGCTTTAGGTCAAGATGATTCAGCGCCGTTTCTCGGCCGTTGGTGTGGCAGCATCACTGGCCCAAACAAGCAGAAATTACAGGACCAAGCTATGTTCGTGAAATTCCACTCAGATGCTCAAGGACCAACTTAGGATTCAAATTTTATATTTCCGAAGAAAAGCCCCTGTGTGTAAGTGTCCGTTGGTGTTACTAAACCCTCGAATATGAACAAACGATGAGAATACCACTGGAATATCATCTAGAAAATCAATAGATAGGCTTTCGTAAACATTCACGTACAATTCAGCTGAAATGATTTTACGTTTATGTTCACGTTCTTGACGTCTTCGAATCTACTTCCGTCTTAATCTGAAACGACAATATATTTTTCATTTCTTTTCCCGTTTTAAAAGAAGCCATCAAACAATACCCAGTGGTTGTAAGAAAGAAAATACCAACTACCCTGAAAGCCCTCGATGGAATTCTTGTGCCGCACACGAACACACGTATTGTAACTCACATGTACATATTAGGAACAGAAACTACTAAACATAATGCCAGGACCTTTTGGCAGATGAAGCATCGCTTGCAATGACCTGCCGATGGCTACATTTAGTTATCTATGCATCAGTAAGAAGTGACATTAGTTGTATTCTTTTGCGCAGGGGATTTCTAACTATTTCCATATTCATTACAGATTTCAATACCAGCTACGTTGGACCCATCATTGGAGGAGTCATTAGCATAATTGTGCTGTTGATAATCATCCTCATTTCATGTGTGTTCTGTAGAAGAAGAAAATCTTACAGAGACGACCAAAGTCCAATAGATCTCAACAGGATTAATAATGGTTCCCATGCATCTAATGACAACGTTTTCTCTCTACATCCTGTCCCTGATCACATGGGTTCTGCACCCCCACCGTCTTATGATGAGGCTGTTAAACATGACCCTCCACCGTATTGTGAGGTGGTTTTCCTCCTCCGCATACATCCTTCATGATACAGTGGTGGTTGAAATGTAAAGGCTCAATGCCTATTTGTGGATAATTCAAAACATGTTTCAGATATACTTTCCTATGTACATATAGTGCCACTGAATAAATTGAATGCGAAATATGTTTGTGCAACAACCTTGAATTCTTATAGAAACTTTCGCTATAGTTTCACATGCTATCAGGTGTGTGTACTGTGCGGGGTGAAACATTTTGCAATACCTGAACTCTTATCGACAAACCAAGTGAGTGAAAAATTGTTGCAAGCTATGATCAACACTTACTTGATATCTGCAGCATGAATGTGCTGTTATTTCTTTAACAGATTATAAATATATGGTCCGGAGATATAGTCAATGCACGCTCAACTGTGGACAAATATAATTCCCCCCAACATTGTTGAAATAACGATCTTACTGATGACATGTCACGCTCTCATTTCAATTATGATGGAATATTTAGAACCACAATTACACACACGGCGTGGAAATTGTCAGAGGCTAAGGTGCATATGGTGTACACATGTCTGGAGACGAAGGAAAAGAGCTCTGGTTCCCACACCATCATGCATGGGACGGTTTACTGTGAAGGATCAAGCATGGTATAGGGATGCATTTTCTTGCAGGTTGCAAGATTGATCTCTTCACCATTCATGGTAATCTTAATGGGCCACGGTATTATCAGGAGATCCTTGAGAGGGCTGTAGACCCACATATTGATAACCATCCTCTAGTCACAAGACTTATGTTTATGAATGACAGGCTTCCCAGAGCACGTGCTGTCAGCCCAGTTCTTGCAACAGAATGCTGTTGAAACCATCCACTGTGGCCAGTCATGTGTCCAGATATCAATCCCATTGAGCATCTGTGGGACACTTTTAGGTCGTCGTGTTCTGCAGAGACCTACCAGTGCAAACGTTCAATGAACTGGACTACAGTTTTGCGTGAGAAATTTGTAGAATCAAATCCGGGGTTGATCTTTGAATAAATTGTTCGTGCATGGAGGTCACACAAGATACTGATGGAAAGTCAGTATTTGGACTTGCTAGACGTTATTTTGAATTGCGTGAACAAGATGTGTGCATTATACTGGCAGCCAAGTCACGAAAGGAAAGAGAAATTCGTGATGTTTTGCATTAAATGAAGCCATTTTCAAAATTCAGTACTACCCTGACTTTGGACCCCAGTGCTATATATAAATTAATACAGGTATAAACGGTTCATAAAAAGTTACTCAGTCTGAGAAAATAATACGGTCGTTGTTTAAATGACTTCCAAATGTGTAGTGTCCCAACATTTCTATCAAGTCTGGGGTTTCAATTATTCAAGTACCATCATTTTATGTATATGATTTGGCATGCAATGTATCCCACTCTTTACATGGTGTGTTTCCAAGACATTCAACATGCCAGTGACACGCTTAAAAAAATCTATGAGTACAATAACATTTATCTTTGGGTTTTTATAAAATACAGCTGTTGGTCAACGTTCATCTGTTTAAAGTTCGGTCATATATACACCTTCGAATAATACCGACTCATAATTTCATAATTTAGCCCAGTGCTGGGTTTCTGGGTGCTTTTCATGGCAGTAATTATTGCAGGATACCGAAGGATATCACTAAAGGTAAACGATGAAGATATTGTTTCTTCGATGTCTGTGGCGTCAAGCGTGCAGACCAGGGATAAAAAATAATTTGGGTCAGAGATGGATGTCGCCATGTTTTCCCCACCAACATAGCGGTGAGAGTAAAGATGTGTGCTGCAACCTCACACACAGGTGCAACAGACCTGGTACCCACCTTAAACCATCCAACACGTGTAACAGCAGAATTTCTCAAATTCAACGGTCCTTGTTAATCGCAATTTTGGAATCCGACTCTTTCATTTCCAAAGTTATGCAGGTATAACTGACTATGCACACAGTTGAGACTGTGTTAAGACTTGGTAACTTAGATACACGTTAATATGCACACAATCGACACATACAAACAAACGGTCAGGAAACAGAGAGAGAGAGAGAGAGAGAGAGAGAGAGAGAGAGAGAGAGAGAGAGAGAGAGAGAGAGAGAGAGAGAGAGAGAGAGAGAGAGAGAGAGAGAGAGAGAGAGAGAGAGAGAGAGAGAGATTATGAACATACAACCGTACATGTAAGCAGAATAGCCCAATTTCAGAAGAAAATAAGCTCATTCTCTCATTGAACGACAACAGTCACATTAATAATAATACTATCATTGTCTATCGTTATCTGCTTCCGCCTTTCGGTACATGAACGAATTGCACGAACGCATTTGGCATGAGGAAACCAGGGATGATAAGCCACCACAATCTCGCTGCTCACTATATAACGCAGTCCGTATCTGCATACGTGACGAGGAGTAGCAGTGTCGCCCTACAATCGACTACAACCGACGAGCAAGACACATACTATGGCGCTTGTTCACGGTTGCAGTTGTGTTCTTGGCTGTCCTGCCTCTTCGAGCCACATATTACTTTAAATGCCGGTAAAATATACGTATTCTTGATTTTATTGAGACCAGGGAAACCATTCATTCTTCTCTCAAAAAGAATGTGTACAATCAACAGCGTATGTAGGGAGGGTGATTGACATTGTTGAATATCTTTTACGTTGGCATACTAAGTCCCGATTCTTTCCTGCATTTAAGTTAGGGTCCCTTTTCCCAATTTTAATGGTTTGACTGTTTCCCATTGAGGTTCACTGTGGACTTCACTCTGACGAATTCTGGATAATATAATCAGATTGCAATGTAGAATTCCAACGATGTCACATACGCTTGTAAGTCATGTCAAGTTAGTGGCATGGGTCATGATGGTTGATCACCGAGTTACAAATATCGGATCATTAAGGATGCAGGACAACATTGAGATACTACATCATGTACATATCAGCGATAAAATCTGGTTACTGTAGATTTGCATGCTATAACTTTGACCAGTAAAAGCAAAAGTCGACGTCCCTCATTTTATATCCCAGCAAAGATCACACTCAATTTTACATAAATACTTGTGGAAATCTAGACTCGAGCTGCTGAAGCCAATGCCTTGCCAATACTAAATCTTTTATTGATGATGATAATAATTAACATAATTGGCGTGTTCAATTAGCTTTCCTTCTATCTATCTTTGGCTAGATCAATACGTGAAGGGAAATGCCACCATGGTTTGGGGAAGGTGTGTAAAACCCCACCAATTCGATTGTATACTAGTACTTGTCTCTAGTCATTATTCCTTTATTAGACGCTTACGGAAAGGACATTCAGCTTCCAATCTTTACGAGCATAGTATTCCAGGATACACTTCTGTTGTACAACAGGTAGCCAAGCATTGAACAGCGCGATTATGGTGCAACAACAAAGCGAGTAAGGCGTAATCCAATGATAGACTCTACAGTTAGGAAAACCCGAACCGTAATAATATTGATTACAAACACGTTGTTTCATCTTCCAAGCGTGTAAACTGAAACCCACAACCAGATTTCGATTCGCTTCTTCGTTGTTTTAATTTTATTATCCTAACAGCCTCTATTTACTCTATGAATGGTGCGTGCGTGTGTGTGCGTGCGCGTGTATAAGATAAGATAAGGAAAGATAGAACAAATATGTCTTTATTGTCCAAAAGGAAATTTCTATTGCAGAGTTTCACCCTCCCATCATAAAATATAATATAAATACATTTGAAATAACAAATCGGCATTTTCATAACGACAATAATTAAATTGCGTTTCTAAAGAAGATCACGTTTATCATATCCAACGAACAATTGCTCATGCTGGTGATCATTGATTGCCTGGTCCAGACTCGATTATTTACAGACCACCGCCATATAGTTGAATATTGCTGAGTGCGGCGTAAACTAAACTCACTCACTCATACCGCGTATTGAAGAGAAACCACTAAACATAGCACCCAAGACTTATTGGCAGATGAAGCATCGCTTATAATGACCTATTGATGGCTACTGCCAATACTCTA